ACGCAAACATATTGGCATGTCAGCGTGAAATCATTTAACTAAGTTTTCAAGACATACTAGTATGCATTTGCAGTGTAGGCATTGGTCCGCAAAACAGTTCAATAGGCGATTTTCCGCTCACTGCGAGATCTCGCGTAATACGTGAAAGGCGTTGATCTTTCAGAGAGGAATACAGCGTTTAGATACCCTTACTTCATCGATATTGACCATCATCAAATGTGTACAGCACATCATTAGGTGCGGAACTACCCTGAATTTAGTTTTGTGGTTGTCGAATCCCACGTGATGTTTTGACATCACGTAGTCATGTGACTGTACACTAAGATGGTTTGTCTCCAATGAGCAAGTGGAAATCAATAGAAAATAGACGGGTTGATATTTATTCCACATAATTTATATTCGTGTAATAAAGCGGGAGGGTCGTCCCCTGCGCACGCGTGGGAATTGAGTCCGAAGCGACGATAACAACACGCGCTAAAAACGCAAAGGCTCATGGGTAGACGCTTGTTTGTGAACAATTACACGCTATGGCCATCTGACGCATGCGCAGGTGACGACTCCACCCGCTTTAATACTAATGCTGTGATTTCTTTCACGTTTCAGGGGTTGACACTTGTGTGGCCGTTAATGGGGGAAGCAGAAGAGGCGTGTGGGCCTTGGCCAACTGTTGCAAAGGCTAAATAAGAATTGAAACAAATATTGCATAAACTAGTGTTTGTTATCGTAACCGGTGATTATTGGTGATGATATATGTAGGACAAATAAAAGTAGTGCTTATCATATCGAGCTTCGTTATTTACCTTGTATTTGTCAACGGGCTATGATGTCATACTTTACCCATACTCCTTTGCTGGAGAATCAAGATGGTGGACTACATAATACTGATGAAATGTTGGTATATGTTGAGAATGACAAGTGATATAACAAAGAAATGTAAATTTGTGAAGCTCTTTCATATGGGAGTATTATGTTGTTTTCCAGGCTTCCCATTTGAGTGTGTTTGTGTTGTAAGTGTACACTATAGTAGTTTGAAGGGTGGTGGAGGTCGCACAATACATGTGCGAGGTAAGGGACTCATATAAACAAAGATGGCGACTTTGACTGTTGCGCAGACCTATGAGTACAAACTGGGACGTTACTAAGCTTTAACTATGTCATTTTTTGGTGATTGGAAGGTATCGCAAAAGTCACGGTCGGTAATTAATGTACGTTGCGCCTTGGTTCGTACTCTGATTTCCATTAGAAAAGCGCATTGGATTGTGGGAAAATCAATGTTTATCAACACAAATGTCTCACATGCGCAGCAAAACGACCACCGCCCTTTAAGCCTTATAGCTGTACTATATATTATATGTAGTGTATAAAGTTGAGGTTGATACTATGTAGGCTTTGTTAGAGAGCAGGTAATTGACTGGGCGACAGTTCACGTGATTACCCACAATCCTATGCGATTTGTACTACGGTAACTACTGTAAAACATGTTTAAATAGCTACATACCATTTTAGCGAATTTGACTCCACGCATGAATTAACTAAATCTTAATTTAGCTAAAGTGTCAACAATCTCATTGTGAGAGTATACTAAATTAGCGACATCTTGAATTAGCGAAATTACAGATTAGCTAAATTAGCTAAAATAACATGCTAGCGAAAAAGACTTGTTTTACAGTAATATTGCTTGGTAATTCAACTACACAGCCATCTGTAGATTACTTCATGCATTCTTTTATTCCATTTTTTAAAATGTTCTTCTTATTTTTATTTTTTCTCTAAATTGTTGAGTAGCTTGTAGTTCTGCTAGGAGTAATAGTTTATTTTGTTATCACCAAAGCAAACTTTATAACCATACTGTGAAATTCTTAGGTAACTAAGGACATCTTTTTGAATAGATGTAACAAAGGAGGCTGCATATCAGTGGACGGATGATAAAGGAAGCTACTTAAGTTGCTGATTAAGTTCCCCAAATATTGACATAGTTTTAGTTCCTCTTTAGTTCCTCTTTTACCTTTCCCAAGACATTGATCTCATTTGACATACCGGTCACGTTTTTTTCAAAATGTACTTTTGAAAAACAAATACACGAGACTTCTTGATTAATTAAGAATATTTAATAAGGTCCAAAAAGTACGCAAATCAATGTCTTTAATACTAGAAGTACAAATCATAGAGAATTATGGGTAATTTGCACAATGGAGTGGGAGTGGGACGCTGGTGAGATTATTACCCAAACTAACCTCTGTCTCCGTCCTTTGATCCCATTGCCTGTCATAATTACCTGTATGAGCATGTCCGCTATGTCGTCTTTGGTGAAAGCGGAACAAAAGCAGAGAATTAAAGCGGGAGGGTCGTCACCTGCGCACGCGCGGGAATTGAGTCCCAAGCGATGATACCAACACACGCTAAAAACGGAAAGGCTCATTGGTAGGTTTGTAAACAATGACACGCTATGGCCATCTGACGCATGCGCAAGTGACGACTCCCCCGCTTTAAACATATCGTCACGAAAGGAAAATAACTGACAAAGGTTCACTCAAAGTACCTACACAT